TACAAGCTATGTTGAAGCTTATCGAACTCAAAAATGCTATACATTTGTAAAACAAGGGTTATGGCAACTACACCGTTCCTCATACTAAAGAAAAGTACGACGAAGAAAGGTTAAACAGTTTGTAGTGATAAATTAGCCAATCAAACTGAATAATAATATACACTATCATTCTAGAACACCAGATTGGCCAGGTCCTGGTTTAAGCTTGGGAGATCCTTAGTTTTGAGAAAGTGGTGTAACTTTGGATATATGTGATTCAAAACTATTATTAGACGATAATTTTGTGATCCCATTCAAAGAAGTAGACTATATTTCGACATTGTCTGATAGTCAGATCTAAGCTATAACTGATTTTTCCAACCAATAGTCCAGAGCAGTGATCATCAGCTTAGAAGATTTTTTCTTATTGAAAGATATTCTAATCATATAAAAATGCATACAGTTAATTTACTAGAATAACTTCCGCCAGAACTAATACCATTCATTCTATTCATTCTAAAGTATCTTCCAGAATGGGACCTAAAAAATTCTCGCAGTATAAATGATATATGGGAAAGAGAGGCGAATCATATATTATTTGAGAGAATAAAATTTCAAATATAGGGATTGGCACAGGGTAATTATACGATAAAGAAATTTTACTTGAAATTGAAAGAGTGTAATTTAAGTAAAGACTATTCAGAATGGCTTCTTAAAAATCAATTTCTCAAAGGATTATCATTTGAGAATACGTTTAAAGTTCTTATTGATAGTTTACAGGATCTTACGTTAGATAAAATAGTGGAAAGGCTTAGTCTAGAAAAGTAATCTACCAGCTCAGCTAATTTATTTTTTCGCTGATTAAAGATAAAATATAAAACACAAATCTATTATGGAAATGGATAGTGGCCTTGAGGCAAGGGATACACTTGATTGGCTGGATCGAATAGCCCTCCAACTTCACTGGCGTTAAAACCTAAAAAGGCAAAAGATAGCTCAGCACCAGTCCAAGATAACCAATTACCAAATGAATTTTTTGAGGCATATAAGGAATATAAAGCATATACTTCATTATCAGGTCCGGACTTACGTAAAGCAGAAATGGAAAAAGGTTTCTTCAGAGGCCTCAATCAAGAGGCAAAGATCCTGTTTGCCTATATAGAACCTTCAGATACTTTAGAAAGGTTATGTAAAATTTTAGTTAAATTGGATGTTTCACTTTACCTGAAATTGCAAATACTGACCAGATAATTTATTTTTTCGTTTGAAAATACAAATATAATACAGACTATTTATGACACAATCAAGAATTTTTATTATACCAGAACTATTAGAACAGATTTTACATTTTTTAGCGATAGATAAATCTCTTTATCCCACTCTATTTGTATTCTGATTGTGATACAGATGCAGTGTCCCTATCCTATGGAAGCGTATTGAGCTAAAATGAAAAAACTTATATCTTAGGCAATCTCTTCCAAATGATTATAATTACTGTGTAAAGGATCACCCTCAATTTAATAAATTCATAAGGATAGAACATGCAAAGGATCTCTCTCAATTGAAAAAATTCATAAAGTTAGTACATGGGAAGCAAATGCCAGTTTATTGCTCAAATGTAACTCATCTCGAAATATCATACTACCATTCACTTTTAGATAAAAAAATCATAAGTATTATACATTCATATCTAAATATAATCCATTTGAGTTTCATAAATAGCTAGGATTTAGTAATAGAGCATTAAAACTGATAGCGGTTTCATATCTGAATCTGAAGTATATCAATCTGTGTGATGATCAGTCAGGTGGCTTTAGGAACTTTCGTATTCGAGAAGTAGATGATGAAGGTCTAACTACAATTACAGATTCATATTATAAATTAGAATATTTAAATATCGCCTATCGCACAGAGATTACTGAACATTCAATTTGCGGTATTATTCATTCCTCTCCAAAGCTTCGACATCTTGACATTTCCTTTTGTGAAATTACTGATATGGCTATCAAAGAAGTTGCTAGATCATGTCTTAATTTAAAATATAATAATTTGAGAGGGTGTTTTAGAATTAGTAAAGAAGCCATAGATCAGTTAATTCAAAATACACATGTCGAGAATTACTGGGATCTGAATGATATTTGAGCTAATATAGAGCAAGTGATAGAGCTAATATCGACACGGCCTCCAGTTGCTAATATTAAAACTTAGTTTCACCAGGCATTCTGACAACCTAATTCCAATATGTTTATGATAGTTGACTCTGGTGCTGATCACCCCATTATAGCTATAAACAGATGATTACTGAAGAATTATTTTGATAGAATACTAGTCAGTCAAGCAGAATGCTGGTACTCTACCGGTCTAAGTATGCGCCGGCGACATAGAGCTGGTGAAAGAACATTAGCCCCAGAATGGTGATACTTTACCGATCTAACTAATCCAGAGCAGTAATCGTGTAATTTTATTTTTTCGATTAAAGATACAGCATATACAGTCCTAGCCAAAAGTAATGGCGGTTATTATTTTTTACTTATCAAAATTTTTTTCTAATTAACCTCAA